TCATTTCTTTTTTTTTTTTTGACAAAAAGATTGCCACTCTCTGTCCTCAAGGCTTGCTGAGACAGTTTTAACACAAAATCCTTTTTGTGGCCCTCTCCGTGGTCACGCCTGTGACCCAATGACCGCGTGCGACGCGCTGTGTCCCTCACGCACAAGGAGGGGTGAAACGACTTTGAATGTTGAATGTGCACTCAGGCACTAAGCCTCGATACGGAGGATTCGTGGATGGATTTAAAACCCTATTTTGGTTTCTCATTCTCCCTCCCGAAGAAAATGAGAGAATTAAACTAGGATCAACGTCTCAATCCAGCCGAAATTGAGTCTAAACAGTCAGTAGCACCCCAAACAAGCGAAACCAACTCGTAGGAGGAGGAAACAAACGAACCTTCAAGTTGGGTAAATTCAAGTTGGTAGGAGGAGACACCTGGTGGGTGTTCCGGGGGATGTCTGAATTTTGCAACGAGATTGACCAGGTTAATAGCCAGAGACTCTGGACGGAGACAAGGCTTCCACCACGTCAGTAGGCATTCTTGTCCACTTCCAGTTCGAGTCCATAAACGCTTACGTATTTGAGCCAAATCTTCGCCAGGAAACTAAGGAGAGAAGATGAAGCCTAATTGAGACGATTACAATTAAAAGGAATGCTAATGAGGTTGGTAGGTACGAAAATTGATGCTTACTCCACCCTCCTTCCTCCTTTTGTGGTGTTAGCAACAGTTGGAATTAGAGGAGACAAGGATTGGGCAATGATTACGTGTGGTGACTAACAAACGTACCGGAGGAACAGATTCCAAGGGAATGGGAATCCGAATAACAGTGCGAAGAGAAGCACAAGTGATTTCAATCGGAGTTAGATTGGAGCCTCCACGATGATGTCTATTGGATAGAGTTTTGGGAGATTTTCTACGATCACGGCCCAGGCCCTAAAGGAGCCGAAAAAACTCCAACAACCATGCGGGAAGGTACAGAAGGGAAATATATATTCAATAATGAAATTTCAGTTCACCCTATCACGATCTTCTCCAAACCATCTACACACCCGTGAACTGCTGTTATCCCACGTCCTAATGTCAGCGGCATCAGTGATGGCGCGCAAGATAATGGGAGACGTTTGCTGAAGCGCTTCCAAAGCGTCGACAGTTCTGTGAACACGGTCAAACAAGCTGGGATCCAAATCCGCAACACATGTGGCCAGTTCCACACGAAGGACATCATCTGATTTTTGCAAATGAATGGCCGGATGAAGGGAAGCATCAGCTTCTGCGAAGGAGATAATCTGATGAAACAAAAAAAGCTATGGAAATGTAGTGAAGAGTATTTGAGTCCTACTAAAACTGAATGGCCAACTTAGACGCCTAGAATCACCTACAACAAATACCTACTTCGTCATTCCGACTTTCCGTTGTTTGGATGGAATGACAACAACAGCAACAGTTTAAAAAGCCTATCTGCCGGTCCTCACGGATCCACAGTAGGTGCTGTGTGAGCAAAAACAACCGTTTTCCCCAATCTCCTCCGCCCACCCAGCACCATGTCCTACCGTGTGAACAGCAAAGTGATGTGTCAATCAACAGCAAAAAAATTCACTCAAAACCAATGAACCAATGTACTTTCAAGCAGTGTAAGGTCACTCTTTGCATTGTTTAATTTTCACCCCTCCCCAATGAATCATTATGTCATGCCATGCATGTTGCCTGTTGCATCGAGATGGGAGAGGGGAATGCACCACTCCTGACTGCGGGAAAGTGTGCATCTTTTTTCACACACCATCAGTAGGCAATGCATCTTGCAGTGATGCTAATGACTGGATGAAGAACGGTGGCAACGTCTCTCTCTGTGTGTGTGTGTGTGTAATTCTGGGGTAGCGAAATTCTCGCTGCCCAATGAAACCGCACTCCAGTGTGCAAGCAAGGCACCCCCGCAATCACTCTCGCAGTGGCAATCAAGTAACTATATGGAGGAGGCGAAAGAGAAGAACTTCTCTACTTACCGATTTACATGCATATCGGCCTATTAATAGCCCAAATTACTGTTAATAGTCTACTGTAACACCTAAATCTAGTTACTACTAGGTACAGTCTTATAGTGGGGGGACCCTACAACGGCTCTTCTTACAAAAGCGAAAATTTTCTCTTCAAAATAGGCAGATAGATGGAAAAAACACTTCCAAAAGCTTCGACAGAAAGGACGCGTCTCATAAAAGGGCCGCTAGGTCGTACACCCTGTAACAGTCGGGATAGATGATTGAGCTTCTACCAACTAACACAAGCAGATGTAAATTAATTACACATTTTTGAAAACAATACATAAGATGACCTGACGAAAACTCCAGATTCAGCTCTAACTGAAGCGTCTTGGGGGAACGTTGGACCACGTAGTGAACACCTGGCGGAGCACATCAGCCACAAAACAGAGCTGCCAACTAGCGAGTTAAAAGGCTTGGGTAGAAGCGTTGCTGAACGTCCTACCAAGATAACAGCATTTATAAGGAAGGCTGCAAATCAAAGCCAAGGCATAGCTCCCATTACCACCGAGAGTGAGCAGTGCAGTAGTTCGTCTTTATGATAGCCATCATTCAAGAATGGGTTTTGAGATGATCAAAGGAGTGTAAAGGAAAGAAGTTCACCGCCACATTACTGCTCTAAAACAGAGATTGAAAAGCACAGATTAGAAGAAGTATTCACCACTTTGTGTACGTAACAGATCTATCATGCCACACCACAAACCTTTCATAGAGTGAAACTGCAGTCGTTAAGCCACTCTAGTGAGCGCACATTCACACAATAAAATTATATCGCGTCTCACTTTACACGCAAATAAGGCGATGACACGTTGGCGACAATCATGCAGATGCCAAAATGCCATTTTAATACATCTCAGTGTCAAGATTATCGAGAGTTAAAACCTAACTGATGTATGCAATTTACTAATCACCTCATCCGTCACTTCGTAGGATAAAGTTGCCTTTGAAAAAAGTCCCGATTAAGTAGGTTTGTTAGTCTTCATGAAATTTCATAGGATTTCATCACGCCCAGATCTACCCTCGAAATAAGTTCGGAAGTCGCTGGTGCTGGGATCCGCACATCGTCACACTTCGACAAGGAACGCGACAATCTGATAGTTGGAGTGGCTTTTACCTAACACAGGCGATTTTTTGTCCCAAACGTAGGCAAACTTCTGTGCAAAGACCTATAAGTTCAGATAAGGGACAGCAAAGACACGAAAGGCACTCTTCACGCCATGACGAAGCCAAAAAGTTATATTCTAGAGAAATGGACTCAAATAACTGACCGGCGGCGTTTAATAAGACATTTATCATAATTTCGTGAGGCCTAAAATTCGGATAAATACCATTATATAACAATGAAACGCTTAAAGGAGAATGGAGAACCACGTACAGAGCCAAACGTCGCTTTGCTATTGGTCAATTCGCGGCAGCCAATGAGGTTGCGGAAGAACACGAACTGCAAGTTGTTGTAATCGCAGATGTGCGCCCTAGGTGAAGCTACAAATGCCATGAAACAACACCTTGGAACCTTTCTATCGATTACTAACAGCCTCCTTCTCTTCATTCTTCCTTCACAAGTGCTATCCTTCAACACAACCCGCAAACACTTTACGCTATGGAATCTCCATGGAGCTCAAAGCTTTTATCCCTGTCGATTTATTCAGTCCTCATCTGATTCAGATATCATTGATACTATTGAATGCGATCGTGAGGCCTCCAACATCCTCGAGAATAGTATTCCAACAATTCATCCCGAAGGTCGAGTGGTTAGAGAAATACGCATTTTCGCAGGACGTCGGCTCAATGCTCTTCCACGCAAGGCATTTGAAAGAGTTGGTGCCGACCTACAAAAACTCGTTATTCAAGGAGGTGATATACGAGTGATTAGGAGGGAAGCACTTCTGGGACTGACAGAACTCGAAGTCCTCGAGATACGTAACGCTCCAAGTGCAGGAAATCGGTGGTCAAACAATGGCCTAGCTGGACGGCTGTTTACTGCTGATGGGGAATTGAAACATCTCAAGAAGTTGAGGCGTCTAGTGCTTGAGAATGTGGATTTGAGCGATGGACTAGTAGCCTATGCGTTCTATGATATAAGTCGACGTCTAAGCGAGGTAGAAATGATCGGTAATAATCTTGCCACGATTAATCCATACACCTTTGAGAAGAGTGAATGTTGCAGATCCCTTCGACGATTAAGCTTGGAGGGACAGAATGCATCATTGAATTGGTTGGACAATGCCTACAGATGGGCGCGCGATTTAGGTGGAGTAACTTTGCTCTCCTTAAGCGGAAATAATATCACCAATAGGACACTCGACTTCGGCTACAGCCTGAACTCGAAATTGCGAGCATTGAAGATAGAAAACTGTTTCCTTACAGAAATATCAGATGATCTTTTAAGCAAGTTCAAAGCACTAGAGGAGATTTATGTTGGAAAGAACAGCTTTACCATCATCTCAGATCAGGAAGCCACTGAAAGGCTACGAGGCTTGAGGCGGTTGACAAGTCTTTCCAAAATAAGTTTGCATGGAAACAAGCGTCTCATCTATAGGCAGCCGACATGGTTTCGAAAATCGGGCATAAAAGAGTTGGATTACTCCAAAAGTCTTCTACGACGAATAGGAGGTCGAGAGCTTCCAGCAGGACTTCAGCGGCTGCATCTAGAATCAACATTCCTCGAAGAAATCGACCCAGAATGGACTGCTGAAATGCCACACTTTTCTCACCTCTACCTGAACGCATCGTACATCAAGGGTGTGAAGATTAATGGAGTGGAAGGCGACTGGCAGGCAGCCTTAGAAGCCTTGAAAGATCAATTGAAAGTCCTTGGACTTTCACAATGCCAAATCATTAGCCAGAGCCTTAAACCCGACATCGGTGACGAATTCCATATTAGTGGTTTGCGTCTGGGTTTGAATAAACTCCAAAAACTTGAACGACTCGATTTGTCCGGAAACTACATCACCCACATTCCACAGGACGCATTCCACAACCTATCCCAACTAACCAGTCTAAATCTCTCCAACAACCACCTTCAAACACTCCTCAGTCTAGGGCATGGTGTGATGAGGTCAAAAAACAGTCCATCAATTCAACAACTGGATCTTACCAATAATGCATTGAGCAGTGTTTTAAGATCCTCACCAAGTCTGGGATTCAATACGTCTTTGCAACATCTTCTAGCTGATGGAGTCGAAATACAATTGGGAGGAAATCCACTAATCTGTGATTGCAGACTGCGATGGTTGAGTGAAAATAGGATCAAAGTAGACAATTTCACCTGTACAGGAAGGAATCGCCTAACTGGAAGTGGATTTCACAAAGTTACTGAAGAGGAGCTTGTAAACGAACATAATTGCATCGAAAGAGATTTTAGTGACGCGCCAAATCCAACTTATCCCTTCAGACCTGTTCGTGTCTTTGGTTATGATAGGCGTCTAAAGAAGGTTCACTTTGCAGTGAAAGGGCGGGCGTTAAAATCAGCATGGAGTAACATTGCAAAAACAACCCCACCCCGTTCCGCTATTGCATTGCAAAAATTGCTAGCAAAGCTGAACAATTTGACCCCAGAAATAATCTCAAAGCTACAGGAGAATTACCTCGTCTTCGAGGTAGCCTATTGGCCAGTGGGAGAGATGAGAGAGATGGAAGGACGGTTGGAATGGCAGGTGGTGGAGGAGGAGTTGATGCAAATTGAGGAAAGGGAGTACGTATTCGCCATCCAACCAATCAATGTTGCACGACCTCACACTGTCTGTTTTAGAAACGCTCTTGAACGTCGAAACACAGCTCGTTCCACCCTCTGTCAGATATTTCAACCCAGTGAACTAGCAATGCCAGCAGTGATAAATGTGTCGGTAGATAGAGTGGATCATGTCCACGCACCTTTGTGGTTGGTTGTTTTGGCAACAGCTAGTGTTGTGATTTTCATCATTTCCATGTTTTGGCTCTGCATTCGATACAGAAGCTGTTGTCGACGAAGAAGAATGGAGAAAAGGCAGAAGAGGGAGGTGTCTTCAGCGACTACAAGTAACGAACTTCCTAGGTATACAGGCTATGATATGCAAAAGGAGAACACCTACGACAAATTGGAAAACTACTATTTGGAAAATTCGTTGCCTAATTTGACTGTGGTGGATGAACGTCCTGAGTTGCCGAGACGTGTAAGGCGGTATAGGAACCTGACACAAACCTTGGAGACAGGAACGGGCTCGTTGGGGGATTTAACAGGAATGCAGTGGTTTGCACAAAGAAAAGTACAAACTCATCAACCTCCAGTGACTAGGCGCATTTATGAAAGGCGTCTTACCAACAAATCGCCACTAACCGGTCCAAAATTACCAAGACCGGTAACTTATCAACACCCAACAACTGTGGCGACACAACTGCTACTAGACGAGAATGGATATGTGAAGATGAATGCGGAAAGTGATGAATACGTAGAGGCTAGGCCAGAGAAGAGAATAAGACGACAGACAGAAGGGGAAGAAGGCGAAGATGCAAGAATGCTGGATTCCTACATCCTTGGAGTATCGAGAGCAGCATTGTTAAGGCAGAAGAGTGCACCCCAATCTGCTCCAATGACTGGCACCCCTGAACCCTGGACCTCTCCTAAACCATCCTTGTGATGAGAAAGTGGGACCGACATCTTGCCTAAAGCACGTATTGTGGAACCTTCATCCAAACCCTCGGAGGGAAGGGGAACTGCAGCTACTCCTTTGTGCGGACTTCGTAAAGAACAGTAAAGCAGCATGCAATGCTTTAAAGCTCTGTTTGAAAAGAGTGCTTCATTATTTCATTGCATAAGTAAATTTTTCTAAAGTTAATACACCTCCTTATTTGTTAGGGGGTCAGAAAAAAGCAGAGTTGGAGAGGAGAAGAGAATTTTACAAAATGTCTATCCTACTACAGCCAATTTAGCCTATTTCGATTCATCCATACAGTAGCCAAGTCCTGAAGCATTAATTTACAAACGCGATCGTGTTTCACGCTAAAGGAGTAAGGATACCCCACCCGACGTCCAAGTTAAGGATGGAATGTAAAGCTGTACGACTGAAAGGCGAAAAAAAAAACGCATGCCACTTGGGTTTGAGGTTTCGTGACTTTGGGCAATTTGAAACACCCCAGTGAAACCGATCTGTACGCATTCCTTCCCGATCCCCACATTCCACATATCGCAATCGCCTTGCCACCCACTCCTACTCCCAGTCACCAGTGGACTGTGCTTGTGTAATGAGGAAAATCACACCATCATACAAACAAGACACAAAAACAGGAGCGTCTGCACCACACAGTGCATAACTTTCACGCACCGCCAAACCACCGGGTCGGATGAAAGAGCAGACAAGGCGTTGGACAATGTTGCATTAAAGAAGCGCACCTCTTCCACCTCTACTAAGGCTACGAAGAAATGAATGCCTCAAAAAAAGGAGTGGGTTGGATGTCTGCCACTGTGGGGGTACGAAATCGACATTTGTAAAATTCCCACTTTCCAAAGAGTAAACGAAGGGAATATTCTTTTCCCACCGCAGTAAATGCCACAGAACCGGGAATAGAAGGCTCGGTTGCATTAATTATTGTGTCATATTTAAGCAGACCCTAAAATGAATGTGCGATGAAGTAGGCGAATTCCTTGACCCTGTTAAGGAGGGCCCAAATTTGCATCTAGGAATTTGAATGAATTCTCACGTTTGCCAGTCATAAGCAGATGCACGCCTGATGGATGAAACCAGACAAACAGCAGATAGACACGCCTTCATCTAAATTCACCGACACTTAAACGTTGAAGGCTGAGGGAACACCTACACCAAATTATGCACAAACAAAGAGCAATGAGAGGGAAGGTGGGACGGAACTCACATTAACAATATGAGGTGGTGATGATCCATCCTGAGAGAAGAGAGATTCGCTAAGAAGTAGGCCCTCCACTCGACAGGTCAACAGTCCTCGAGGTGGGAAAATTGTCTCCCTTCCAGTATCTTCACCTAGCTCCACCATTTGCTTAATAAATGGGCTTCCCTCCAACTCACAGAATCCCAGCGAGAGGCTAAAATAGAGGCAAATAGAAAAGTGTACCAAAAGAAGGCATAAATTCAACAGGACGGAGCCCGAATCGCCTCCCACTCCACAGTTTCACATCTTGCCAATTCCCAAAAGACCCTTTAATTGGCCAAACAATGGCGCACGGATAACTGAAAAGCGTTTGCGTATGTGAAAACGAAAATGAAGAAATGACTAGGCTCCTTGATGAAAAAACCCCTTAAATTTCCATACCGCTACAACAAAATTTCACCTGAGAAACCCAGTCAGATGGAATTTGCTGAAGGTTAAAAGTGTTTGACATTTTATTTGCACAAAAAAAAAATGAATCAGGTCTTTCATGCCATGCAAAAAGCTAGCGTCGTTCACAGACAGTCACGCAATTCACCCAGACTTCATTCCAAATAAAGAGGCGGCGAAAAAGTCACCACCGCCGAAGGGTACACACAACACCCACCTCAGACAGGAAACAAGTAGGGAAGAGATGACCTAGAACACCCAGCTAATAGGTCCCAATTCCCTCACTTTTTTTCTTCTCATTTTAAAAGTTGAAAAAAAATACAAAAAGCCTTCGTTACATAAAATCTTCAATTTGCGTTAAACACTTATAACGAGTGTAAAGAGAAGCTAATTGTAAAGGCTTGACATACAGCAAGTGGTTTCTACCCTGAGTACACTGTGCCAACTTTGCATTCACATTTTCCAGCCACTGCGCCACCCCAACCGATCGTTTGGCAGCAAGTACACCACTAACACCACCGTCTGCACCAGAAACTGTGGCAAAGAAGTCATTCTGATTCTTTAATGTGCCTTGAGCTGGTTCAGAATCCAGAGTTGTGCTTATGGCCTCATGAAAGCTTTCCTCACCACCACTGCTATCAATACTGATGCTACGAGGTCCAAAGGTTGTGGAAAATGAAGCGGCTTCGTCTGTGTGGAAGAGCGTCAATGTAAAGAGGCGGCATCGGGCACATACAGAGAAAGGTGGGGAGTCGGTAAAGGGAGGAGCTGAAAGTGAAAACAAAAAATCTTAACAATAGAGAGCTAGCAAAATTGGTCGAGCTTTCAGCCCTTACAGTCCATAACCAGGACTGCCAAGTAATGCAAGTCGACTGGTGCAAGTACCTACCTTCATCGAGGAAGGGAAAACTGCTAGCTCCCAGACATGACCGAAACATGTTACTGTCTAAAGGAAAGATAATAAAATCCCAATTTTACAGTCGCCCTTACCTCTGTGATAAAAAATAAATCGTATCACTACTCACCGATTGACGTCATGCTGTCATCCTCCACAGAGATATCGAGATCAACAAGTGGACCAGCTTTTGGATCACTACTATCCTGTAAAAAAAGACAGAAGTAAACACACGGAAATCGAGGAGTACAAAGTGCTTGTTGTGCACTATATACCATATTACTGGGGGTGGAGTTCCCGTCAACCTGATGCCTCGCCTTCTGTACAGTGTTGTAAGCTTGAAACAGTTTTGTCAACTGCGTTACCATAGCACCAAGCCAAAATATCTGAGTGGGGCACAAGCAGGCGACAACAGGACCCAGATCTACATTGACATCTATAAGTGTTGGTGAAGAGGTTTGAGCAGACGAAGAAATTATGCGCGAGAGAATGGTGGAATCATGACGTATGTGAAGGGCAACATAGTTGTCGGGACCCAGAAGGCTCAGAAGACAAGCTGAGGCTACCATGGATTCGGGCTCAGGACCGGAGAAGAAGCCATCCTGACACAGCAAAAAAAAATAAACAGGTTTATAAAGCTGTCCCAAAGGCGCAAGTTCTACGAAAGCACAATAAAATGTCCACTCAAAAGCATTTCAGTAACATACATTTAAGCTAATACTGTCATGAATAGAGGTAGAAGGAGAGGAAACGGAGGTAGACTTTGTGGAAGACGACGACAGAAGAGGAGAAGTTTGACCAATACTGGTATCCCAAAGATCCCAGTGAAGTGTAGCGCCCTCAAAACGAAACAATTTCTGAGCAAATGGTGAAGATCCTAAGCTACCTTCAGCACCTCCGTTAGCCGGTGATTTAAGAGAAGTGGAACCTGGTAAGTAGCATGGGAGAATGTTCATAAGAGCGTTTAGTTAACAGTTCAGTTGACTATCCAAAGCTTTACCTAGCCCAAAAATCCACGTTTTTGACCAAAACCACGACCAAAGGTTGCCTCCACCCCCTTTATTTTCAACTGCTGCTGGTGATGTTGGCTTAGGCAATGTCTTGGGACATTCCCTGCGATGTTCGTGGTGTGGCGAGGTCACTGAAGTTGGGATAGTAGTCGATGATGATGAAGACTGGGCACTTTCGACATCCGTACCCTCACCATTGGTGATTTCGAGAATTTGAATTTGTAACCGAAGGTCGCAGACTCTGTGAGCCCCGTTTAAAGCAAGGGGACACTGAACTCGGAGGCGGAGGTCACGAAGCACCACCGTTGCTCCCAAGAAAACTGTAGTCGAGAGAGAGGCATAAAAATAGAAAATGAATATGCAGATCAGGATGATTTATTGATAAGTGAGACGTGGCTAATACAATTCCAAGGTGAGACCATCCATTCAAACACTCAATCGCCAAATCAAGCAATATTGTAAAAATGCAAACGCTCTCTACGAAAGACAGGAGGAAACTAGTCCCCCCAGAAGTGAGGAGTAGCTACTTACGATAGACGACCAATTTCAAAGCCTAAAATCAGACACATCAAAGAACAATGTATAAGACAGTAATAGCTCGATAACAAAGCCAAGGCCAGGCACTCCACCATCGTCCTTATCCCATTTCAACCCCGGACGCAGGGATTGGAATAGCCCCTGCTTCAGCATGCTGCTAGACTGGATAAGGTCAGATAGCTGGTCCTCATATTGACAGCTACGTCGTAATCACCGGTATTTTAATGAATTACTATAAAACCGAAGCATATAAAAAGGACTCAAGATTCATTCAACAAATGGTTGCATGGAAAGCCCTTCGCGTGACCTCAAATACTACATACCATACCTGACAGTAAATGGCGAAGGTAATCTCTGATAAGATAAAATACAAGTGATAGTGGGCCATAGTAAGAGGCTAATGTAAAGCAACGGGTTGAATCATGAAAACAATGCAAAAATAAAGGTATGCGCAGTGGTTAAAATGAAACCATTGGTTACGTAATTGGGTTGGGTAGACATTAACAAATACCGAACGCCAATACATCCACCAGACCGTACAGTAAAACATTTTGTCGTAAAGAAGCAATGAAAAACTAAAATGGCAACAAATGAGAGGTCAAAGACGTACGAATGTCGATGAGACGAGCTGCGCGCTCAATCACGACGTCGTCCACTAACGAAGGGGCGGTAGAATCAGCGTTACCCAGATTGCGCATAAGGGTGTCAACTTTCTGAACGATTTTCTCAACGCATTGCGAGTCGGCGGCGGGAGGTTCGACCACAGTATCCCCATCAGCAACAGATGCTGCCGCAAAGGCTAAGGCGGTGACGCTTGATATGAGCGAGTTAAACATTCCGTCTAGATAAAAGAGAAATAATTATAGCACTTTTCTCAACACAATAGAGCCGGCATTCATATAATGGGAAAAAACACACCGTTTTGAGACGAGAAATTATGCAGTGTCGTTTGGACAACAACTTCTAAATCGATGAATTCCAACTTCCCTGACAGGAGGTGGACAGCAAGTTGACCAACATAAGCAACGCATATAGCAAGTGGGATGTTCTGCTCTGCCAATGTGACATTAAGTCTCTACGAAAAAGCAAGTTAACACCGTTACGTTGACAAAAAATACCTCAATATTCAGGTACACATCCGAACACACAATTTTGTCACCAAGTAGCTGAAGTTGGTTAGATTCTAGTGGCCTGGCGAGAAAAGGAGCAAGAAAATGATTTAAAAAATATCGAAACGAATGCTGCGTAGCATTCCAGAAGGCCATGATCCGCGCCCAATCCCTACCACAAAAACTATCTAATCAAAGACAGCGCCATCTGACCAGATGATCCAGAGTGACAAACAAGCCACTTAAACTTTATGATTGAGGCACTTTGTTTAAAAAACAGCTGGTTAACATATATTAATGCGTAAGTTTAATAGTAACCTTATATGCATCCGTTTGAAAGAACGCATAAAATTACTTAGTTAAACCACTAACATAAGATAAAATATTTAGTAAGCTATCCTGCAGTAACCACCGCATTAACTTATTTTCTTGAAAAAAGTCCAATATTTAAATGTTAAATTCTAAGCTTTTGTAACACCTCAAGGCTTCCTATAGAGTAGTAGAAGGCATAAGTGAGAATGAATACATGTATTCTGAAGACGGCAGCGCAAATGGGACCTGGGCGTGACCCGAACACCAGCCCACGTGTACAGGGGTCACACAACTTCTATAGTGACTACCAAACGTCAGGCAGTCACATAAACAATGCATTACATTGCCACCCTACTCTTTCGAGCGACGTCCTCGACGCTCCCCTATTCGTACATCTCCCCCACCAACAATTGCAACATATTCAGTACTATATGAAAGCACCCACGAGCCAACCACGCCAGCCGACAAATATCATTTGACTGACGAACCATGTCTGGTATTCTCGACAGCTTCAACTGAATCCGGAGCTACGTTCGGTCTGACAACCAGATTCGGGGACGCATGCACCTATTGACCACCAATTGTTTCCAGGAGTAGACGGTGTAATTCTGGCCTAAATCATATGTTTCAGAGAAAACGGGATGAGCCACTCTCCCGTATGTAATGAGAACCGTGGTCTCATTTCTGACACCTGAACAGGGATTTTTATGGGGAATTCCGACACGAATCTGTTCCGGACAGTTCACGGCGGTGTCGCTTCAGTTATTGATAACTCGTCTGTGGAACACGGAATATGGTGGCACCAAATGCAGACGTCTGTCTAAATCCTTTCGTTACGATTGATTCGCTTGCTCCGTTCGCTCGCTACTGCACTTCGATGGAGTCAGCCTTACCTCTGCGTATGCATGGCTCATGTTTGCCGATGCACAACGCCAGAATGCACTTAATAATACTGGATTTTGTAATATATTCTAGTTGTTTAAGTGGACCTTTATAGGGATGAGGTGGAAACCAATTGGAAGCGTGGATCACGTGCGCGAGGTCGACGAGGAGTCTCCCTGCGATTGACACCTCCTGTTCATCACATCTGTATCTTATTCCCCTATCCTTCTTATAGAGATGCCTAATAAATCGTCTACAACCAACTTCCCCTTAAAGTCTGAGAACCAGGGACCAGAGGGTAGACAGGCAATTACTACAGATTTCTCCACCAGAAGTGGAATTCCATTGCAGTCTTGTCTGATAGTTGGATTACAAGTTTCCTGTTGTGAAAAGAGAGGTTTCGACTTTCTCCCTAAGGGAACCCCACTTTGGGGTATTTGCATGCATTGAACCAGTGCATCATCTGATCGAACTGTTGCTCGTCGGTTTGTTCGTACTGTTCTTTTTCGGAAATCGGTCGATGAATTGGCAAAGTTTGGCAACACAAACGTAAGATAACAGTAAGACTGTGGTGTCTGTCTGGCAATAGGTTTGCCGGCACACAGACGACCAACGAAGAACAAGCAGCAGAGAGCGACCCCACCTCGGCTGGAGCAAAAGATTTTCAAAAGCACTTTATAAGTGAAAGTGGTTAGAAGAATGTCGGGTTCGCTAACCGCTACCACCAGTGTAGCGTCCCGAGGCTTCTCATAGGGTGGAAGGAGGCGTAAGTGAAGGTGAATATATGTATTCGGAAGACGACAAGGCAAATGGAGGCTGAGCATGGCTCTAAGGCCAGCCCATATGTACATGGTCCAGACTGTAGTGTCTTGGGGCTTCTCATAGGTTGGAAGGAGGCGTAAGTGAAGGTGAATACATGTATTCCGAAGACGACAGGGCTAATGGGGCCTGAGCGCGGCCCGAAGGCCAGCCCCTGTGTACAGGGGCCAGATAAACTCTAAAGTAACCGCCTAACATCAGGTAGTCACATAAACAATGCA